ACACGCCGCCGGGAGCGCGCCGGGCCGGGCCGAGGTCACACTAGCGCGACCGCCGTTTCCTGGTGCGCGCGTGGAGGGCGCAGGGTGACGCAGGCTCCTCCACGGTGCCACCGACGCGCGGTGGTGGGAGCCAGGGCACGGGTTGGGTTCGAATCCAGCCAGCCGCTTTACGGTGGAAACCTGCCTCCCTGCCCCCAGTTAGACTAAATTTAAGTGAGGGTCCAGCCCTGGGGGTTTGTGCATTTTGTTCTTGAGATGGCAGACTCTGTATCGTCAGGGCGCGTTTTATTTTCCTGCTCTTGTCCATTTGTGGCACCAGACAACTTCAGGGACTACTAGGAAAAGATGGGTGTGGGTGTATGTTACCTAACCATATTCTGTTAGGTAACTAGATAGGTTCTGAGAAACATTGAGAGTAGACTCCCTCGTGGTTAACTCTGCGTTCTATCTCCTGTTTCCCTGGTGACGTGAGAAAGGAAAAGCTAACAACTGCACCTCCTTAGGCCTCCTGGCCAAAATGAAATATCCCTGCTCTAGGTGGAGACTTGGCATCTCGATCTGCTCCAAAGATTTTAACATTACATACTATTATATCCTCCGTTAAGCTGGCCAAGAGTCCACTCCCAGGAAATCTGATTTATTTGGAGACACGTTAAAGAGGTGGGAGAGATAATTATCCCCTTAATAAAATACTGTACTTACATATCCTAAGTGTTATTACTTTGGGACACTTTAAGAACTAACCACGCCCACCCCAGCCACTTTTGACCTCCCCTTCATCGCCATCTCTCTCTCTCTGGTGTGTTTGTCTTGTGTCGTGTGGTGTATACGTGTGTCTTTGTTCTCTCTATGTTTTTCCTATGTCTCTCTGTTTTCCTCTTCTTTAAGCAATAAATGTCTCCCTTTTCTTTAAATAATACTATGTCCTGTAAGCCTTTTATCCGCCGTAACCGCCCGCCTGACTCCCCCATCCGTATGGCCCTGCCACCCTGGAGACTAGAAGCTGCTCTGCGAGCCGCCTGGGGGATCCCAACATCATATTATTTTTAAAAAGAACAAAACTAAGATGTGCTTCTTTGTGGAGTTTCCTTCTACCATGTAGCAGTGCTAAGCTTGCTTGCTTTTCTGTGTTCTAATTAAGACAAAGGTAACACCGGCTTTTTGTTTGTTTTTCTTTGGTTGATAGCCAAAAGCCTAAGCATGCTTTCCCTGGCATTGGGCTTTCTTTATCTCTGAATGCCTGTTCCCTCCTGAAACTATAGGTGGGCCTCCATTTCTGAACAAAAAAGTCTTCCAGCTTTGCTTGTGGTAAAAGACCTGACCTAAACTCTTGCACAACCTGTTTTCCTCGTACCTTATCATCCAATGCACTTTAGAACCACACTGTCCTCATTTACTGAAAAAAGTAATTTCAGAAGGCATGGAAGTCATCTGCAAGGCTGTTGTTAAAATACTTACTTGTCATTTAATTTGAGCATTCCATGCCTACAGTTGGGTTTGCACTGTCCTTTTGGTGAGTGTCTAGTATAAATGTCTGTGCTCAAATCTATGTCTTTAAAACTTTTACCTATGTCAGAGGTGGATGTCAAATGTCTTCCTCTCTTCTTACCCACTTTTCCTTTTTTTTTGGAAAGGGCTTCTTACTGAACCCAGACTTCACTGCTTGTCTAGACTGACTGGCCACAGAGACCTTAAGATCCTCCTGACTACTTCCGTGGTGCTGGGACTCCAAGGACACGCTACCATATTGGCTTTTACATGGTTGCTGTGGATCTGAACTCTTTGATAAATTCTAGCTTTGGCTAGAGATGTGGCTCAGTTGTTCACCCTGGCTTTGATCTCCAGCACCTTCTACGTTATATGTGTGGCACATACCTATACTCCCATCACTGAGGAAGTGGAAACAGAAGAATCAGAGATTCAAGGTCATGTACAGCAATGTAGTGAGTCTGAAGCTTGCTTGTGACTACATGAGACCCCAAACCAAAAAATAATAAACTTCAATTCTGCATCATACTTAGTCCCCAAAATTCATTTTTTTGTGGCACAGCCAAGAATCCCAGTTTCAGGCAAGTTAAGGTACCTGAAAATAATTCCTACAGAATATAAATATGATGTGTGTGTTATATGCCTTGTGTGGAAGACAGAGGATGTTGCTCTTTAGGAGCTGTCCAGCTGCTATTTGAGGAAAGATCTCTCATTGGCCCACAGGTTAAGCTAGGTTGACTAGACAGTGAGCTCCAACTATCTCTCTGCCTCTCCAGCACTGGGATTACAATTGTATGCCAATGCAATTGGATTTTTAAAAAATGTATGTGTACATGTGCATACATGTGTGTATACCAACCACATGCATGCCTGGTGTCCACAGAGAAGAAGAGTGTCAGCTCCCTAGAACTGGAATTACATATGGTTTTATGTTGCACAGATAATACTAACCCAGAGACAGATGTGGGAGTTCAAACTGAAGTTCAGAAAAGCAAAGCTGTCAACCACTAGAGAGACCTTTAACCTCTACCAAATCTCTAGACCAAAAGGGCAAGATCCTGTCTTCATGAACCCTTTGACTCCACACTCCACTGATTTCGTCTTTTCCCCTTTATAGTCCTCTCTCCACCCAACCATAATCACTCCTGTCTCCACCTCCCTAGTGCTGGGATTAAAGGTGCGCAACTCCCAACCAGGATAAAAGGCGTGAACTACCAACACCTGGATCTGTTTGGGGGTCGGCCTTGTGTAGCCCAGGGTATCCTTGACCTCACAGACATCCATTTGCTTCTGTCTCCCGAGTCCTGGGATTAAAGGTTGTGTGCTACCACTGCCTGGCCAGTATGGCTTACTAGCGTGGCTGCTTTGCCCCTCTGATCTTCAGGCAAGCTTTATTTATTAAAACACAAATAATATACGACTATAGTTGTAAGCCATTTGGGTGCTGGGAACTAAACCCAGGTACTCTGCATGAGCAAATGCTCTTAACTACTGAGTCATCTCTCCATCAGCCACACCTGCATTTTTACACTGATGCTGCAGATCACTTCAGGACCTCATCAACCTCCTGATTGTGCTATTAAGAGTAACTGTGGTGACAGTATAGTTGCAGAAGTAGTGCCTGGGAGTCACCGATGGGTTTGACATTCTCAGGAAACACAGGCTTTAGGGACAGCAACAGAACCACAGCAGCAAATGGAGTTGCTGTCCCAGTGTTGGCAGTAGCAGCAACAAGAGGTGGCTGAGCAGCTGGGCACAGGGACTAGGGTAGGTACAACAGTGGCAACAGGTAAGAGAGGGTAAAGAGCCTCTGAGGTTGTACAGAAGGCTGTGAGATTCTGAAACTGTAGGCCCTGAATGGTGGTATAGTTCCAGAGAGCTGTTAAATAGCCAATATCCAAGGCTAGGGAAATCCTAACATCTCAGCCTTGAGAATCATGGTACCTAAAGCTATAAAGCCTGTTGTCAAAGGTTGAAGAATCCACACGTCCTAGACTTACACTAATCAGAGGAGTAACACTTGATACCTCAGGCCTGCAAAAGACTCCTAACACAAAAGCACCACCACCTTGCTGTAAAATGCTGAGGGATATAAAACTGCCAAAGCCAGTGCTGGAAAGGCTTCTCATTCACCGACATTTCCATCTGGGTAAAATAAAGGACTCTGTCCAGCTCATTAGTAACACAATAATCTAATGCTTAAAATGAACTAAATTTGCTGTCCCTTGACAAGCTCCACCTAATCTTAATATATATATAATTTACTATTTGTGTGCATGGTGTGAAACACAATCATGCCCCAAAAGTTGAACGTCAGATGTAGCATGATACTAATTAGTCTTGTTAATAAAAACCTGGAGTCAGATATCAAGGTAAATGCTGAAAGATCAGATAAGTCAAGGAACAGCCACAGTCACTTCTTAGCTCTAGGAATCCTCAGAGCAAAGGGACCAAGATCCTGTCTGTGCTTAGCCCTATCAATTCCTGCCTCCTGTCTGTACAGATCTCCAGGCCTCTATGGTTAACTTGTGGCTAGCTCTGCCCTCTGATCTCCAGGCAAGCTTTATTTGTCAGAATACAAACAAAATCTTACAACACGGGTGAATGTGAAAAGGCCTGAAGACTTTGTGGAAATGGTTCTCTTCTTCTACCATGTGGGTCCCAGGATTGAACTTAGGTTGCCAGACTTGGCCAAGGCAAGCACCTTTATCCACTGTGCCTTCTTATTGGCCCTAATCTTACTTTTAAATTATAGCTGATATCACATGTAATCGAATTCAGTTAGACACAATCTACATACCTTGAGGTATATATTCAATTAGGAAATGTACCAGTTGATTTTCCAATTTAAAATTTTAATGTACAGTCTGACATACACGAAATTCCTTGTTCTTTTTCATTTTATATGGATGTAGACATTTATTCTATTACTTCCTAAACTTTCAAAAAATTAAAAATGTACTTATTAACTTACAGATGAGTCGTAACTTCTTGATATTAAAAAAGTTTTATAAAATTCCACACACACACACACACCCCACAATTCATAAAGACTTGGAACAAAGTTTTTCAGTATTTGATTTGGGACTATGGGATGTATGAACCTCTTAGATTCTTTGAAACTAAACAACTTGGGTTCACTCAAGATTTACTGAACTGAAATCCATGAGGAAGTGGTATAGCAGCTGATTTTCTTTTTAAAATTTTATGTGTAAAAATTTTGTGTTTTGGATGAATGTCTGTGCACCATATGCTTGACTGGTGCCTGAGGAGGCTCGAAGAAGGTGTTGGATTCCCTGCACCTGGAGTTACAGACACTAGTGAGCAGCTACTTGAGACTTGGGAATCAGACCCAGGTACTCTGAAAGAGCAGCCAGTGGTTTTAATTGTGACCAATCTCTCCAGCCCCAGGTTTTTAAAATTCTGGGGAATTTTTCATTCGTTTTTTGAGACAGAGTTTTGCTGGTCTAGAACTTGCAATCTTCTTCCTTCAGCTTTCTCAGTGCTTGGTTTAAGACAAATGCCACCATGTCTGGCCCCAATGACTGCTGTTGTACTGAAGTTAAAAGCCACAGACTTAATGTAACCTCATATGGTTCCATGTGGGATGAAGTATATGGGACAATGACTTAGAAAGTCTAGTCAAATACCATAATTGTCTGTAAGGTAATCCAGGACTGCAGATGTGCTCGACAGGGCGTTAAATAATCTTTTTTCCTGCCTTGATGTTATCTTTTCCATCATGTACATTAAATGTTGATGGAAACACATAAAAGGAGTTCCAAGTTCAAGAGCGATGTCAACCCAGTCCCAGATACATTTCAGTGGGGTTTCTTCATATCCAGCAAACATAGCTGGGTTTGCTAAAAGTCCCCTTGCGACCATCACACCTGCAAATTAAAGCATAACATATTTTTCCATAAACTAAGAATCTATCATTATCAGTACAAACAATGCAAGAGCATTTATCAAAAAGTATTATTATGAGATTTCAGGATACCCTTACTACAAATTAATGAATTACAACAAGAAAGAAGTTGATTCTGGTGCCACTGATAAACCAATTGTATTCATACAACTAATTTTAAAAAGAAATCTATATTAACTGCTTCGTTAGGAGACATCCATATTGTCATGAATTGGACTGCTTAAAGTTGAGTCTATTTGCTTTCATCCAGCAACAGTTACCGCAGGGCTGCTTGTTAGTTACGTAAGGGGTAATGAAACTACATGGCAGTTCCGAGGCCCCTGTGGGCAGCAAGTTCACTAACTCTCACATTTATTCTGTATTCTAGATGCTTTTTAAAGATAAAAATGAAACAAAACAAAAATAAATATGCCATCTGTAGATGACTTTACTGGTAATAAATATGCCATCTGTAGATGACTTTACTGGTCATCAGGTATGGTGGAGGCAGCACAATGTAGCCCCTTCTAAAATGATCTACTATTTGTAAGGAAAAGATCTGGCAGCATTGTAATAAAATACTTAGCTTAAATTAGTACAATAGGGAAATATGGCTCAGTGTGAAATACAAAATCAAATTAACATCACTCCCCCATCCTAACTTTTGAATCCTTATTAAAGGATAAAAAAAAAAATCCCAGTATTTATTTCTTACCATCTGTCCCAGTCATCTGCCACACAGTCTTTGCTTCTTTCAAGTTTCTTATGTCTCCGTTAGCAACTACAGGTATAGACACACTTTCCTTTATCATTCTAATGGCATCATAGTGGACAGGTTGGTGTCTTTCTTCAGTGGTTCTTCCATGAACTGTAATCCAGGACACCCCGGTTGCTTCAGCCTTCTGGCAAAGATCTATGGTTCTTCTAAGGTCATCATGGATCCTATAATTTCAGAATTGTAGCCGTTCATAGCACACAGATTTTAATGCTAAAATAACTAAGATACTTCATCTACTACATTACTTCGCTTTACCATATTGTATTATCACTTCATGTCACTGTTACTAAGGTTTTGTTGAGTAATCATTCCCATTCAAGACCTTGGCTTTAGTTATTTGACTATGGAAACAATATGGTGACAAATGTCTTTCCCTTCCCCACTGCTTTTCCTTATCAGTGTTGAGAAATTAAGAGTCAACAGCACACTGCCACAGAGGAACACAAAGAGGTCATCCTAATACATTCTGTGCAGGCCTCTCACATTGGAATCTTGTTTTCTTTTAATTGTTAAATCTTAGTGCAAATATCCTTCCTTCTTTCTAGCTGGTGCCAGGGATGTTTCTTAGCATTAGTTAAATAGAATCTGGAGAAAGTTGAGGGGTTGGTGAGGTCTTTTAATTAGGAATACATTGTTTTGTGTTAAGAAATAAGATTTCAGAATTTATAATTTAAGAATGGAGTTTATGTCTGTTTGCTAAATAAACATCTCTCAATATTTCCACATACCAGTCTCTAATTTATTTAGGATACATACCACATCACTAAACAAAAGGAGTATTTTTAAACTTTCCAAGTAATATATTAACTTGTTAGTAGACGGAAATATTTTGTTTACCTTATTTTAATTGAAACTGAAAATCTAGGATTTTCCACTTGATTTCTTACTTGTTTCACCATATCTTGAATGAGCTCTGGCTTGTTTATTAAGCAAGCTCCATAACCTTCTGCCACTGCCCACCTTGATAAAGCAAGCACAACAGGTAGATTGTAAACATCTAGAAGGGAAGACAAAGCTCTAAATGGACTGCATCAATCTTTCCTCTATCCGATGAGTGGAACGAAACAGACACTTACAGTTCATGGATCTACAGCAGGACAGTTAGCTTAGTTGGAGACTGTTGTCCTAAATAAAATTTATAGATCAACATTTCTAAATGGTTCCATGAAATCAGGGAAACAGGAGATGTCTTTCACCAGTCAAGTGAGAGCATTAAATTAGAATTCTTTCAACCAAAACAAATTAGGTGTTCATATTAACTGCAATTACTTCAAATTTTTTAAATTCCAAATGTGATGTTTATTGTGCATAACAAGAGGTTTTATCAGTCTCAAGAGTAAAAAAATATTTTTGGCTCACAGCATTCCAACACTACTAAATAGCATATCTAATTCTCCTAATGAGTATACAAATGTCTAATCTGATTTGGCTTAAGCTCCATTTAAAACTGTGAAACTGTGATTTATTCTTTGGGCACATTCTGGCTACTGGAAGATAACCCAGTACAGTGCCAGCACAACAGTTTCTTAAGTACGTCCCATTCAAATCCAATTAAGTAGCTATGAAACAGAAAGGAAAGGGTAACTACAGTAAAACAATTAATTAGGAGAAAGCCAACAGTATGTCTTAAATCACATAATCAGCTTTTAGAGACTATATCTGACATGGCATGAAAAACACATTTCTGGGATTGCTGTAGATATTAGATTCTCAAAGGATTAGCTACTGTTGAGGTTGAAGGCAGAACCAGAGTGTGCTTGTTTGTTTTATTGGCTTGACACAAACTAGTTATCTGGGAACAGGGAACCTTGGTTGTGGAATTGTTTCCATCAGATTGGTCTGTGAGCATCTCAACGGGACACTTTCTTGTTTAATGACTGATGTGCAAAGGCCCAGTCTACTGTCGGCTCTGCTAACCCTGTGGAGGTAGGTACCCTGGGTTGTATAAGAAAACATGTTGAAGCCGGGAGGTGGTGGTACATGCCTTTAATCCCAGCACTCGTGAGGCAGAGGCAGGTAGATCTCTGTGAGTTAGAGGCTGGCTTGGTCTACAAGAGCTAGTTCCAGGACAGGCACCAAAGCTACAGAGAAACCCTGTCTCGAAAAACAAAAACAAAAAAGAAAACATGTTGAGTGTGATAGGTAGAATTAGAATGGCCCCCGAAAGCTCATTTATTTGAATGCTTGCTCCCTGATTAGTGGAACTGTCAGGGAAGGCATGTTGATGGAGGAGGCATGCCATTAGAGGTGAGCTTTGAGGTTTCAAAAGACCATACCATTACCAGTCAGCTCTGACTCATGGTTGTATCTCGAGATGTAAGCTCTCAGTTACTTCTTCAGTGATATGCCTACCTGCCTGCTGCCATGCTTCCTGTTCACCCTCTGAATCTTTACGTCCCTAATAAACTCTTTCTTTTATAAATTGCCTTGGTCATGGTATTTTGTTATGGCTATAGAAAAGTATCTAGTTAACAGCAGAAAGCAAGTAAGCAGTGTTACTCCATGGTCTTTGCTTTAGTTTCTGCCTCCAGGTACATTCCTTGTCTTCCCTCAATCTTGGAGTGTGACTTGGGAGTTGCATACTGAAAGAAACCCTTCCCTGCCTAAGCTGCTTTTGGTTACAGTGTTTATCATAACTGATAAAACAAAAAACCAAAAAACTAATGACCTAGTGATAAGAAACAAAAACCTAGTCAAGAGTCCATAAACCACTTCAGCCATCATGAAGACCTCTGATATTCCTAAATAACCTTTTCTTTTTTAAATTCTTGTTTAGAACTATAGTGCTTTAAATCTATAGCCTTCCTCTTAAAATTTCATTAATTTATCTATTATTATTACTAGTGTGTGTATGGGAGTGGATAGTGTACACTCAGAGATCAGAGGATAACTCTGTGGAGTTGGTTCTTTCCTTACATCATGTGAGTTCAGTGGAAGCTCAGGTTATGCTTCTTATACCGTGTTCCCATATATATATATATATATATATATATATATATATATATATATTTTACTTTCTTTGAAAACTCTTCTAATTTCTTTGACCTTTACCTCTGAGGGCAACCACAGTTAATATCTATTCCACTTGCATAGGGGCAGATGATTTGGGCAGCATCAGATAAAAGTCTTGCATCATTAGCAGCAAACTGAACAATCAATGGGCAATCACCTGTTTAAAAAAGACAGCCCAACATTAAACTTCATAGAAGAATCATTCACACAGCCAAAAATCAAATGAAAGACTGCAGAATTTATAGAGTGAAAAGTATCCCAGAATGGTAGCATATACGTACCTGTTACGTGGAAGTGAGTGTGAGCATTCTATACACACTGCCATGCTGGCTTCCTTTGTTTCTGGGAAAAGCACTCAGATGTGTCTTCTATTTAGTGGATATTCTCCTATACGGATAGACTACATACTGCTGTCTAAATTGTATTCATGCTTCTTATAAGTCTATTCCTAGATGATTGCCTAGAAGTCTAGTTGCTGAGTAAGCATTTAACACTGCCTAGGTATTTAACATAGAGACTATTACATTATCTTCTAAGAGTTTATAGATGTACAAATTAATACAAAGGGTCTTTATTTCCATTCAAGTTACCCACACGGAAACACAATATTTGTGTATCTTTTTTTCTTTTTGGTTTTTTGAGACAGGGTTTCTTTGTAGCTTTGGGGCCTGTCCTGGAACTAGCTCTTGTAGACTAGGCTGGCCTCGAACTCACAGAAAGCCGCCTGCCTCTGCCTCCCGAGTGCTGGGATTAAAGGTGTGCACCACCACCGACCGGCAATGTGTGTCCTTATTTGTATTTTTCAATTCTATTTTTTAATTGTTACTTGCTTCTTTTATTATTTATTTATATATTTATTTGAGACAGAGTCTCATTCTGTTGTCCTGAAATTTACTTTGTAGACCAGACTGGCTTTAAATTCCACAGTCTGTGTTCCAAGTGCTGAAATTAATGGAATTTTCTAGCATACCTAGCTGTGTTTTAATTTATAATTATTTTTAAAAGAAAGAAATTAGTCCTGTCTATTGCATGGGGTATATATATTTTTAGTTCTGTTTATCTTGAAGTACATATCTAGACCTATATGGAGAAGCTTAAAATTTAGGTTAGTCAAATATATCGTCTTTCCTAGGTCTTACAGAACATATTTTTCATATCATTGGATAGTGTTTGAATTCTGGAAAGACACATTTTAACATTTCAAAGGCTTTTTGAAGAATTCCTATGAAATGCAAGAGATGTTTATAAAAGACACGTTTCAGGACATCACCTCTGTTGAACCAATTACAGATTTTTATAGCAATTCACTGGTCTGGGAATTGATGAGAAAGAGCATTCTTTTTTCTTCATTGGCCTGGTTGGTACCTTGGTTACAGAATTCTATTTTAACACTCACTTATTGATCAACACCATTAGCAGCTGAACATACAAATCGAGTTATTTCTATAGCTCATGCCTTCTAGGAACCTACAATCTAGTGGAAGAGAGGGCCATGGAAGAAGAAAACAAAACAGTAAGACTAAGTACAATCAAAGAGCATGTGCTTATGAGCGAGGATATGGTTGCAGTGACCAAAGAAGCTTCCTTGGTTACAAGCTTTGAATGATGGATTAGGCACCATGAACTGTAGTTTACCAGGTGTGTGTGTGGGGGGGGGGACATGGACACGGACACACACACACACACACACACACAGACACACACACACACACACTCTTACAGGCATGCAGGCATGATTGGAGAAGAACTCTAGGTAAGGAAGTTCAAGAACAAGGCATGCTAAACTCTACGAATTTATGGAAAGAGAGGCTGTAGATGTATTCAGTAGCTGGATCAGAAAGGACTTTGCTTATTTGCCTTAGGTGTTGAATTCTAGCCTCTAGATTGGTGATTCTAAACTGTTAGGAAGATGAGAGTACTTGTATAGTTTTTCAAAACATAAAGAGATTCTAATTAAGAAGGCCTAATTCCAATTGAGCCTGGAAGCACTCATTTCCAACAAGTTTTCAATGATGGAGTCACCTTTGGCCTGACAATCACGCTGAAGTCATTTTGGGTACTGGGAGGAAGGACTGTGAGCAGGGAGGGACATGATCAAATTTGTATCTCAGACAAGTCATTTTGGTCTATTAGAAGATAGTCTGAATGAGAAAAGACTACAGGCAACAAGACAGGGCCTTATTCTAGTAAATGAGGACAGAAAGGCTGGTGGCCTTAAGAACAGCTCACTTTACATTCTGATAGATTATTGACAGTGTAAAAGAAATACTAAAGGCACTTAAAATCAAAAGGACTATAAACTATACTCCTTGTTTCATCTAATTTTATAAAATAGCTGAGTATATATATTTCCCCTGCAAAGTCAGCAAGCTACAGATTTTACATACCTTGGTTTGTGGTAAATTCACTGTCTCTGGCTTTTACAGATCTGACAAAATCAGCAGCAACTATCATTGGTGTATAACACAGATCACAAGAGTATTTTCTTACTAGCGTTCTAAAAGCCAACCTGTGAAACATATAGAACTTTAATCATGAATTTAGAAAATCCTTGAAGTATATGCATTTGTAAGTTGCATTTAGTTAATTATTAAGTATTTATTAGAGAAATTTTTTCTTGGGTGAAAGAGATGTAGACTTTCAACTAGTCTACCTGCTAAGTATGACTAAAATCCTTGGTACTTGTGTTTTTGAAAGAGTCTCACTATATAGCTCTGGCAGGCCTGAAACTCACAGAGCTCTGACTGGCTCTGCCTCCTGGGATTAAGAGCATCACCACTTACCAAGCTAAAACCTCAAAACTACTTCTAAAATAATTATAGCAAAATCACAAAAAAAGAGAGGAGGGGGAGACAGGCCTGTGGCCTTGCAAGCCTCATCAATTTTCTTTTTGCTTTAATACAGCAGACTTGGGGCTGAAGTAGCTGACGACCTGAAATCAGCAGTGAGTGGTGACAAAAAGGGTCCAGCATAAGTTTTCTGCCTTATAAAGGATCAGTAAAGAGAAGCTTCAAAAGACGGAAAACTTACAATAACAATTAACACAATACAAAACACTACAGACTCGCCCTTGTTAGGAAATAGTGGGTGTGGAGCCTAGATTTCTCACTCTTCCAAGATGTTCTAACATCCCATGGTGACAGTGTTCAATCAGGCCTGGTAGGTACATGAAGCCTTCATTCCTATTGGCTACCAGGACTAACCTTTCCACGGCTATCAGTGGAGATCACATGGAGAGCACATACTTCCATGTGTATGGGACTGCATAGTAACAAAGCACCCTTTCGTCTCTTGCTGGATGTTGTGAAAGGAGGCCTTGTGGAGAGCCAGGACTTCCACACTACCCAGAAGCTTATGAGTCAGAACTCTCACTTCTGTCCACACTAACTAAAAGACTCCTTATCTCCCAGATGTACATAGAAGCCAAGCTGATAAACAAGACAAAATACTCTAGTAATGAGGTGATGGCTCTCTTTTCTCTCTGATGGAGCAGCATCAGAATGGCTGACTATATCAGAAGTTCCAATATATAAAACCAGTCATTACAATCTATTTTATATGAAAGAGCACACTTATGAATGCAAAAATGCTGTATCAACTGATACAGAAATAACATTAGACAAAATATCCTTATACAGTATTAAAAAAGTCTCAGAAACAGAATTGTAAACACCTTCCTTCATTTGATGAAGACCATTTATTAGATATCATATGAGCATCTCCGAGACAGGAGCAAGGACAGATTGTCTGCTTGTACCACTTGTTACAGTGGGCACTTTTACCCAGCGCAGTAAAGCATGGAAAAAGATCAAAGTACTAAGGTGAAAAGAATTAAAATTGTCCATCTTTATAGATGACAATCATGTCATCATGTTTACATAGACAATCTCGAGAAATTTAGAAAAATCCATAATTATTAAGTGAGCTCAACAAGTTTGTAAGCTATAAGCACAATGTAAAAAATCAATTATACTTTTAAAAACTCTTAATTAAGTTACAGATCTAAAATTAAAAATACAGTACTAGGGGTTAGTGGGTGGCTCAGTGGGTGAGAGTGCTTGCTACACAGGCCGGACGACTCGAATCCAACCCTCAGGACTGACATATGAACTGATCTCTGATCTCACATGAGATCACCTCATTCCCTCCGCCCTTCAGATCGTTTTCCAGGACAGGATTTCTTTGCATAGCCCTGGTTGTCCTGAAATTCACAGATCCTAAGTGTTGGGATTAAAGGTGTGCACCACCACCACCAGGCTCCCACCCCTCTTTAATACACACTCCAAAACAATTTCCTAAGCTTTACATCCAAAACACGATTTAAACAAATATAAATAAGCTGGGTTTCAAAAATACCATTAAGAACATGAAAAGATGAGCTGGGTGGTGGTGGGGCACGCCTTTAATCCCAGCACTTGGGAAGCAGTGACAGGCAGATCTCTGTGAGTTTGAGGCCAGCTGGGTCTAAGGTGCTAGTTCTAGGACAGCCAAGACCACATAAAAAAATCCTGTTTGTTGAAAAATGAAAACAAAAAGCAAAAAACAAAACAAAACAAACTAACCCCACCTCCAAAAAAGAAAGATGAAAAGATAAGCCTATATACTAGGAGGAAACATTTGCAAACCACATAGGAGTAGCTTCTGGAATAATGTAAAGACAATACTTTATTGCAAACAAATGAGACACCTTAAAAACTATTCAGAATGGGCTGAGCATTTGAATAGACATTTCTATAATGAAAAAAAAACAGTCAAGAATCAAAAAGATGTTCAACATCACTACTCATTAGGGAGTACAAATCCAAAGATTCTACTTCACACCCAATGGAATGGATATAATGATTAAAAATAGAATAAAACTACAAGTCTTTGTCAAAGGTGGAAGGAACTGGAACCCTTGTATGTTGCTGGGGAGTAGGCAGAGATGGCCTTGATTGGAAACGGGTCAACACAGAATTAACATGTGACTCATTTGACTCCATAGCTCAGAGAACTTAAATGGTCTGAGATATTTAAATACATGGATCCATAGCAGCATTATCTAAAATTGCTAAAAGGTGGAAGCAATCCAAATGTTAACCAAGTGATGAAAAAACTGATATACACCTAATGGACTACCTAATAACCCTTACACAAGGAGGGGAAGGCTGGCGTTATGGTATTATATGGATGAATCTTGAAATCAATAGTCTTAAAATGATAAGTAAACTAAGCTAGTCTCAGTTACATGAGGCACCTAGAATGGTCAACTTCATAGAGAAAGGAAGCAAAATAATGACTAGGGGCTGGAGGTGTTAGAAATGAAGAATTATTGCTGAGTGGGTCCAAAGATTTAAAGATCAGGTACTCAGTGCTTAACTGTACATAATCCTTTACAGCTAAGAATCAATTTGTAGCCCAGGCTGGTCCTGAAACTCAGTAATTCTACTGTCTTATACGCATTGAGTGCTGTTCATAAGTGTGTGCCACCATGCCTATTATGTGTACTTTATAACCATAAAAAACCACGAGAAATCATCAATAGTTAAAAAGTAACAATTACAACATGGGAAAAGATATGAAGAAACATTTCTTAAAAATATCTGGATGGCAAACAGACACATAATGATATTTGACATCTCCAGTTACATAAGAAATCAAAATTAAAACCATGACACAACTCTACTGATCTAGAAAATGGTAAAAATAAAAAGTGATATTAAAAGTTGATAAGGATGAGACAGTAGACTACTCATACGGTAAGCAAATGTTTGTTCAAAGTGTAAAACTGTAATCTCCATTCTAGAAAAGTTTAGTACTTAAAAAAACCAAACCAAACCTAAGCATCAAATCACCTCAAGCCTGGCAATTCTCCCACTGTGCTTTGGTTCTAAGAAGCATCGTCACATAAAAATCTGTATGTGTGTGTGTTTATATTCATTTAATATCGGCTGTATCCTAATACATTATCATCTTTACAGATATTAGGCTGAGGATGTAGTTCAGTCAGTACAGTGCTTGCTTAACATTCATGAGGCCCTGGGTCTGACACCAGCATTATTTAAGCTAGTCACAGTGGCATACACCAGTAATCTTAGTTTTTGGGATAGGAACACAGAAGGATCAGGTCTTCAGCCACTAGCAAGTTTTAGGTGGCCAGAGATATACAAGACTCTGGGGGAAAAAAGCTTGGAGAAATTGTCTACTTAGGGTCCAAAACATACCAGTTGAGTGTTAGCACAAGGACTCAATTATAAATCATGATTCCAGAGTGAGCAGTTTGAAAGCCTTCTTTGTAGGTGATTTTACAACTAAAAAAACTAGTACATATAAGGAAAATTAAATTTGTCTCATTAATGACTTAACCATACTTACTTCGAATAGCGAACCATTGGGGCACAGATTTTCACCAGCTGTCCAGAATGAAACATTTCTATTGGGTCTTTTTTTCTTTCTTGACATATTGTGATTGGTATGGAGTCACTCCTCATGTATACAACTTAGTTTTAAACCTGAAAGACAGTTTGCAAAGAGAATATGTATTTCACTACATAAAATCCCATTATTGGGATCACAGAGCTCTGTTGTATGGTTGGGTGCTTGCTTAGCATGTGGCAGACTCTGGGTTTAATTCTCAGTGTTGGAAAAACAGAAAACTATTATTCTAGCAACTTCAATCATCAATATTTTTCATGAGGCTTGCAGACTTGGAGGATCTTGCCAGATTCTGCCTCAACTTATAGGATGAATAAATCGGGAATACTGAACATGGTAGTTTTAGAGAAATAAGATATGAAAAACCTCTGTTTTCTCTCTAGTGTGTATCATGTTATGATTTTGCTTGTTACTTTTTTGCTTGGTTTTTGAAACAGGGTTTTGCTGTACAGCTCTGGTTAGCTTTGAATTGATAATTCTCTTGCCTCAGCCTCGGGGGTATTGCAACTGCACTAGTATGCCTCCATGTCCAGCCTCATATTTTTCATTTTATCCATTTTATTTTCTTGATAAACCAAGGAATCTGATTTGAATTCCCATACAATACTGTGTATAATGGACAATCTGAAATATTTCATTCAGGAAAGTTAGGTGGTATCAACAGAACATTTGTATTGTAAAATAAATCCTGATATTTTGGGGCTGGAGAGATGGCTTCATGGTTAAAAGCAGGGACTGTTCCTGCAGAGGACCTGAGTTCAGTTCCTAGTACTCAGGATGGGAGGATCACAACTACTTCTATTTCCAGCTTCTGGGATCCAACACCTCTGGTCTCTGAGGGAACTTGTACTCACATGCATATACCTACTACAGATACATACACACACACATACAATTAAAAAAATAAAAATTCTTGATACTTTTATTCCTTATTATTGGTGAATCAGAAGGCACACAAAACTTTATTTTAAAAATTTAAATGTGTTAACAATGAAGATTTCAGTTATCATCAAATAAGTGCATCATTGTTAACTCTTATTCCCCAAGTGAAAGGGATAAATTATTTATATTCCATGTTGTACTTAAAATTATAATTTCATAGTATGTGTTGCTTTTTGTATTTTTTGCCTATGTAATCTAGTCAGATAAAAGCTATCCCTATAAAATGCTAATTACTCAAAATTCAGTCTTTAACCTTCAGTAGTAAGCTAAAAAACACGGTCAGTATAGTAAAGGGTGTCGTAGCTTGCAAGAAATCTTTGGAAGAACAATCAAGTAACAGAGGAAAGGGAGAGTAAATAAGCTGCATCAGAGATGGTCATAGTGCTGAGAAAAACTCGGAGTTACAGTAAAACACTAAGAAAACTTTATTTCAAAGGAAAGACAAGTCTTAAACATCACAGAAAAGGTAAATACTATGAGCTGGTGAGTTGCCATGATGTTATTACTGATTTTGTTTTTACTCATTCTTGTGGTCCGACTAAATTGTTAAAAAAAAATCTCTCAACCTAGTTCAGAAAACATCACTAGTTTTGACAAAATATGTATCACAAAAAGTAATTAAGGCAATATAAAATATTCATCAGTCAGGGGAAACACAGTATTTAAAACTTTATTTTGATCCTTTATAAGCCACTTACAGAGACCAATTAAACGGCTCTCTGGGCTTATGGGATGAAGGTATTAATATTTTGTTTTAAAGTTCTCCAAAGTCTGCAGTCACGCTTGAGAGTACCAGAATAATTCTGCTTAAACTGGATAGTAACAGGCACAATAGTGTGCTCAAATATGCTTGTACACCTAGAATTTCTTTTAGTTCTATTTGTAAATTCGTACTGGTATGTACAGTGGAGGTTTTAACTTTTATTGAATGGTAGTATGCACTGACTAAAATCCTTTAGTGTAAAAATACAAAATTCTGTAATTCAGATAAAGCTATTCGTCGTTGATGATTATAAACAAACTAGTTTTGTATAATATGAATACTGAACTCTAATGTGAATCTGGGCACGCTGCCTCTGGCAGCCGATCAATCCCATTTGTATCACAAGTTAATCACATAAGGGGAAATCTGAGGCGAGGTTAAGGGAATGCTAAATGCAGTTCAGTTCGAGACCCGCTCACCTAAGTAGTAACGAATACTTCAACGTTTGGATTTCTAAGATATTTAGGGTAGCGCTTAGCAACGATTCTTCCCCAGCATATCCCGCCTGCTATGCGGGCTTGGCACAGGTAGGACTTGGCAGCGCTAGCTCCCACGTGCTGGGCGAGGAGGGCCGCGAAGCGCCCGGAGCCTTCTTCCCTACGCCAGAGGCCCGCGTTCTCCGGCCAATACTTGCGTTGGAGGTAGGAGCGGTGGCCACGTCTCCGGGAGCCTAAGAGAAGGCCCGCGCGGCAGCCTTTCTATCCTTCAGTGCGGGCACTTCAGGTCCTGGCTGCCACACACTCTCCCAGCGTCAGCCAGGCGGGGGCGCCTTGATTCTGCGTCATCGGGAGGGCGGGTCTGTCGCAGACGTCATCAACCCGGCACTTGCCAACATGGAAGGTGGAGATCGAGTCTTCTCCGTGACAGGCCGTGGGTCTGCAGGTTCCGCGGCAGTGGCGGCGACCGTGCGGGAGCTCCTGCAGGACGGTAAGGCGTCGAGCGGGGCCGGGGTTTGGGCCTGGGTCGCTGTGCCGTGCGCGGAGGCTGAGGACCCCATCGGTCGCTTCGCACAAAGTTTTCGGGTCTGGACGTGGCCACTCCCCTACGCCCGGCCCCCTGTCGTCAGGTATCGTCCTGGTCCACGCGTTTCCCCCGGGATGTGCACCTCTCTTCCCGTAGGTGTCTGGGGGACACTTGGTATTAATTGCTGGGACTTGAGCTCTGTCCTGACGTGCCCAGGGCTTCTCTCAAGTTCGGGGACCCTGCACGCCATGGTCCGGGCTGATAGCTCCTGTCTTCGCCCAGAACTGAAAACCCACCTAGGTGACAAGCCGCCACTTAAGGAAAGGGGTGGATGGGGACGTGAAAAGGGGAGTTAAAGACACCTGCGTTAAATTTTTGGGCCATGCAGTGGCCTCTTACAGTGTGTTATCCACGCATATCGAATACCAAAGTCACATTTATTGGTAGTTTGGAGAGAAATTATCCCAAGAAAGTTAACTATATAACTTTCTATGACTATTGTAGTAGTCTTGAAAAACTCAGTTGTATTAATGCTCAAATCTGAGAGACAGAGCAAAATTCAGTTTGCAAAAGTTATTAAACCCCCTTTCACTCCCATTCTATCACGTATATTAAAAGCATTTGCATTAATCACTTTAATTCCTTGGTGTCAGGATCATCCCCACCCAACCTACCCCCCACCTTTTTTTTTATGAGACCCAGTTTTTCTATCAAGCCCTACTGTTCTGGTGATCTACTCTCTGTGTAGATCAGTCTGGACTTGGACTCACAGAGATATGCCTGCCTCTGCTTTCCTAGTGCAAGAGATCAAAGGCATAGGCTACCACAAAAGCCCTCTTTTTATATCCCACAGTACTGCATACAGTCGGTTCAATTTTTCTTTTTACTTGAACACTACTCTAAGTGTGGCTTATAAATTTTCAAAATAAAGTTTTCAATTGTTGTGTTTCCCCTGACTGTTGAATATTTAAGTTGCCTTAATTGTCTTTTCGTAATACATATCTTGAAAAAATTAGTGATTTCTTGAACTAGGTTGTAGTAGATCTTTTAGAGTTTCTCCCTGTGTCACCTTATCTTTACATCTTAATTGAAATTCAGATTTAACCAAGTTTCGAACTCCTTAGATACACATAAAGTTGCCATTCTCAAATACTTACCATGTAGTACTATAAAGGCAGCTCCTATAATAGTGTTGGAAGAGTACAGTATGATTGTGTACACAGCCAAACAGCAATACAGAGGATGATAGCAAGGGGTTAGGGTTTGGTTCGGGAGTGTAAATAATGCTTTTCCTGAACTGCCCCAGTTTATATTCCTTGATAACACATTCTAAACAATGAATATATGTTTCACTAGGGCACATTTCTGGAAGAGTAATTAGGTTTTGGATAGTAAATAGTTGATATGCATACTATATTTTCCTACTTACAAAAATTCTATATCATGCTTCACAGTGATTATTTAAATCTACATTACTCTTAAAAAATTTCTTCTTTCAAACCCCTGGAACTTGTCAGATGTGAATTTTATTTTTTAATTGCTGTTCAGACCTTGAGCTTAACCACTACTTAAAATCATACTTGCTTTCTTTTTTCCTTCTTCAGTTTTAGGTAAAGCAGTGTAAAGTCCCTGCTTTCTCTTATGAACAGCCCATCCTGTCTAGAGCCCAGACACTTCCATTCTGTAACCTTAAAGTTATGTTGCTAATATCTTCAGTGGTTCCTGGGAGATAGATCAGAACTTTTGGGTTTTATCCCATTTAAGTTTGTTTGTTTGTTTATTTTTGTTTTTTTTGAGACAGGGTTTTGCTGTAGTTTTGGAGCCTGTCCTGGAACTAGCTCTTGTAGACCAGGCTGGCCTCGAACTCACAGAGATCCACCTGCCTCTGCCTCCCAAGTGCTGGGGTTAAAGGCGTGTGCCACCACCGCCCAGCCATTATTTTCTTTTATTTTTGGTTGTGAGCTAGGTTTTAACAGCTGAACCATCTATCTCCTTCAGTACTTTCTTTATGCAACTTCCCAGGTTTTGGTGTCTTCCTGGGTTTTAAGCCCTGCATTTTCTGTTTTTGTATATTTTTTTCCTTCTTATTCTAAAATTTGTTTCTAAATCATCCAGTCTCTGTTTTGGTCAATCTTTCAGGAACTAGAATACGCAGGGAAGTGAGAACTTCAATCGAGGAATTACCTCCATTTGCGTGGCGTATGGGTATATATACTTGTGGGACTTCTCTTTCTTTCCATCTTTCTTTCTTTCCTTGTTTCTTTCTTTCTTTCTTTCTTTCTTTCTTTCTTTTATTCTTTTTTTTTAAACATAATTCCTTTATAGATTCTTTGGGAATTTCACATCATGTACCTTAATTCTGCTCACCTCCTGGTCACTCCATATCCTCCCCTCTCCCCTGTAGTAACCCCCAAAGAAAATTAAAAATATCAAGCCAAAGTTAAAAAAGCAAGCAAACAAATAAAAACAAAACAAAACAAAAAAACTCTTCCCCCCTCCATTTTCCCTGCCTTTCTAACTCCTCTTCATTCATTCTGATATAGCATTGAGAGCTGTGATTTTTTTGTCCAGTCAGTTCTAATAGCAGATGTTCATTGCAATGAGCCAGTGGTCTGATTCAAGGCCTCTGACTTCTGATACATCATCATTGGATTCTCAATGAAATTCCTTTTGAATATTGATATGGGATTCCCCTCTATATGCTATGAGTATCATTGGTTAATAAAGAATCTTCTTTGGGTTTATTGCAGTGCAGAATAGGACAAGGAGGGCATTCCAAGCAGATAGAGGAGGAGAGAGTAGGCAGAGTCAAGGAGAAGCCATGTAGCTGCTGCAGGAGACTGATGCCAGATAGAACTTTACCTTTAGGCCACAACCACATGGCAATACACAGATTAATAGAAATGGGTTAATTTAAGATATAATAGCTAGCTAGAAATTCACTAAAGTCACTGACCAAGCAGTGTTGCAGCTAGATCTGCATGTCGCTGTTGACCCAGGTGGTAGTGTAGGCCACTCAGATGGACATGTTCCTATTGGCAGCATGGCCCTAGGACACTAACATGACCCCAGACCTGGGGCATCCCCATGGCCTTCAATAGCAATAGGAGCTGCAGACATTAACACAGACCCTGGCTGCTATAGGGCCACAGATCCAGACATGACCTTTGGCAGTAGCCTGGGCCTGGATGACACCATGGCCCTGGGTGGCAACACAGGCCACCCAGATCTGTGTGGCCCTGGCTGCAGCATAGCCCCCAGACTCCAACAAGACCACAGGTTGAGACATTTTCTTAATTGCTAGTTGATGCAGTAGGGTCTAGCTTACTCTTGCTGGTGCCATCTCTAGACACATGAACATTAAATAAGAAAGGTAGCTGATAAAGCATGGGGAAGCAAGTCATTAATCAATGGTCCTTTATGGTTTCTGCTTCAGTTCCTGCCTTGAGGTGCTTGCTTTGAGTTACTACCTTTGCTTTTCTTGATTATGGACTGTTATTTGTAAACTAAAATAAACCCTTTCCTCTACAAGGATCACTGTTTTATCACAACAGAAAAGCAAAGTAAGACAAGTTATCTTTACTTCTCTTCTAAATTAAAGAACTATATTTTAACCTCCTACTAATATTCCTGTCTTGATAGTAAACAACATATTAACAAATAGTACATATTCTATGAAAACATTAAGCAAAGTAAATGTCTTCCTATTCTTGAATCTTTTTTCTAATTGTCAGTGTTGCTACTTACTATTGGTAGTTAACTACCAATAGTATTCAGATAAAGAATATTCCACTAATTAAAGAAACTTGGGAATTATTTTTGGTTTCTTCTACCTAATCACCATATCATCTTATCAAGTTCTACCCATTGTCACGTTCAAGCTTTTGCCAAATATGACAGTTGCCTGACATTCTTATATGACACACATTTATTTGTATCTTATGTCACTTGGGCTGTTAACACAGTGCTGTGCTTTTTTGACCTCTCTGATTCTACTCCACAGGAAGATAAATTAGTAAACTAGCTTTCTTGGAAAATAAGAAAAGGCCTGGTTTCATTGGTATTTGTGTATTTCATGGTATAAATACCCCTATCCGAACTGGTTTAAAGCCTACATATAATACTATCTGGCTCAAAGAACTCCTGAAAATGTCATAGTTTGTAGGAGGTGGGGGGGGGGCCTTGTACATCCTAGGCACATGGCTAGCTTAGACCTGAAATAATCACACAGGAACTGTATTAATTAAATCACTTTTGGCCCATTAGCTCCAGCTTCTTATTGGCTAACTCTTATATTAATTTAGCCCATTTCTATTAATCTGTATATCGCCACATGGCAGTGACTTACCAGGAAAGATTCGGCATGTCTGTCTCTGGCGGCTCCATGGTGTCTCTCTCTTTTTCCGCCTCTCTTCCTCCCAGCATTCATTTGTCATCCCCGCCTACCTAAATTCTGCCCTATCAACTAGGCCAAGGCAGTTTCTTTATTCTTTAACCAATGAAAGCAACACATAGACAGAAGGACCTCCTACACCAATAGTTAGCTACTAAAAACTAGTAGATACTAACTCAAGCATACTGCTGTGTAACAAATCCCGTTTTAGTTATTCTGTGTTCCTTTAAGAATTGTTGTAGAATACAAAACTGGCAGTGCTCTTGTTAGGCTTTAGAACCATCGGTAGCACATAAATTGACTGTTTTGCACATCTTGCAAGCATTTTATCAAACTGCCCTCCAGCCTTCCTTTGAAACTTCATCTTTTCTTTGTATTTTCT